AAAATCCCTCAGGGATAGGGACTGGGGCTGAAGAAAGTACACTAGGGGGGTATCCTGCACCCCCAGATCTTTCAGAATTTAGCCCCAAATTCCTTGCTTTTCATTTTATTTGAAGAAAAAATAATCAGGTCAGGCAAGGGAGAGCAGGCTTGGAGGGGCAGGCATATGTCAGCCCATGATCCCTACTTTGCCTGTTCAGCATTTGAAGTCCTGAGCTGTGGGGACCCAGCACTGACCACATGGAGCCTGAACAGGTGGGGTCCTGAGGGTGTCAGTGGGGTGACAAGGGAAAGATGACCCAAGGAAGTCCAAGGCACCCACACAAAGGTCTGGGAAAGACCAAAGCACAGCACTTTGAGTAATAAAAGTCCATTGTCACCTCAGGTCTAACCCCAAGAATCATATGCTGGGGCCCTAGTGCAGGCAGCCCCCACCCACTCTCAGTGCATTCCTGAATGCCGTTCAGGAACCCAATCCTGTTCCCAGCCGTGGAGGCTTTTAACCCATCACTCCCATTCGTCTGTCTGCCAGTCCGTCCATCCATCCATCCATCCATTCCATTCCATTGCTTCTCCCATCTTGAAAGTCTGGGTGAGACACGTGGAACCAAAATATTTGGCTCAAGAGATACTTTGTTAAACAAGATGATCCCAGACTACCTAGCTATGATCCATTTCCTCAAAATAGACCTGGCTTGTCGTGCCTGGGCCCTTCTGCACCTCAGGAGCCTGCCAGGAAGCTCTGTCTGGCCATATTATTTATAATAGGAACCAGCCCCACCTCCTCCCCAGGGGCCGGGGCCACAGTGGTCAGATTGTGGGAGCCTTAGAAAAATAAACTCGGCCCAGCCAGCCAGGTCCTGGCAGCCCTGCCCAGCGCATCACTAGACAGGACAGCTCTATGCTCTGTCCCAGCTGATGTGGGCACAGCTGCCTTTAACCAGAAAAACACTCCTAGGATCACATTCTCAGAAGTAAATATCCAGGACAGAGTTCTGGGCCTTCTCATCAGCCAGGCCCAGGCTTGTCCTCCAGGATGCTGGGGAGGATGGGGAAGATGGGGAAGATGGGGATGCTGGGGAGGAAGGGGAGGCTGGGGAAAATGGGGAGGATGGGGAAGATGGGGAGGCTGGGGAGGATGAGGATGTTGGGGAGAATGGGGAGAATGGGGATGCTGGGGAGGCTGGGGAGGATGCAGCCACATGCTTATGTGCTTGAGGTACCTCTGCCTCTGCAGTAAGGAGGCTGGAGAAGGAAACCCAGAGCATTTTAGGAGCACCCAGAAAGGCCTCATCCTAAGTCAGAAGCACAGGGTGACTCTGGGTAGGTTGAGCCAGACCTAAGGCCTTCACTTTACCTTCCTCCAGTACCAGTGTGACCAGAAAGACTATCAGACCGAGAGTGGCTATAGAATTTGTGAGGCTAGTACAGTTGAAAATACCAGGCTTCAGGTCAAAGTTACTAAGAAGTTGACAGCGAAGTATTACACTGAGCATGCATGGGCCATACGCAACCGCAGAAAGTCAGCTTCACGCAGGAGGTCACCTCAGGCTTTTGCAGGAGTCTCTTATGAGAGGCACGCCTAAGCAAACAGAGTCAGGCCTAATAGTTGGGTACCACACAAGCTGGCTGAGACCCTTCCCTAGCCAAACCTGCTCTGACATCCATGCAGTCATCACGCTGTGCTGTGTCTTCAACTGCCGTGTGCCACGGACACGGAAGGAGATTGAGGCCCGGTATCTACAGCGAAAGGCCGCCAAGATGTACACAGACAAGCTGGAGACCGTGCCTCCACTCAACGAACTCACAGAAATCCCTGGAGGTAAGTAGATTCCAGACCCACGGTAGCCAGCAATGAGTCCTGCAGCCAGCCAGTTCCTCAGCCTCACTATCCTAAATCACCCTGTCTGTCCCTGCAGCTGGTTCAGAGAAGGAACTGGGCACAACCCCAAGAGACCAAAATGCAGAAACTAGTCAGAGCTAGGTAACTAAAATAAGGAGCCCATTTTGTAGCAGAAAAATTTGGGGGGGGGTGCTGGGGAGGCTGCGCGAGGGGTGCAGGGGCTGGGGCGGCCGCTCCGTCAGTAAGATCTTTGCCATACAAGCACAAGGACCTAACTTTGCATCTCCAACATCCACAACAAAACAAAACAAAACGAAACCAGGCATGATCATGCACCTGTAAATCTCAGTGCTGGGGAAAGGGTGACAGAGGGTTCCTTACGCTCACCGGCTGGCTAGTCTTGCCAAATCGGTGAGCTCCAGACTTCTCAAATAAATAAACAATAAGGTAGAGAGTAGAGGAAGACACTCAACAGCAACCTCTGCTCTCTATGTACATGCCCACACGTGCACACTCACTGACACAAACAGGCATGCAGACACACGCACCTCAGATAAAAAGTACCTGAAAGGGAGGGGTCGGAAGAGCAGGTGAGGCGAGATTTGGGGCTTCCTCCCATCTCACCACGGTGGCTTTGCCCCCTACCCACAGAGGATAAGAAGAAGAAGAAGAAGGACAGTGTGGACACAGTGGCTATCAAAGTAGAGGAAGAGGAGAAGAATGAGGCGAAGAAGAAGAAAGGAGAGAAATGAGCAGCGTCTCCTGGAGGTGGCAGTTAGGCCTGGCAGGCCTTGAAGTCCAAGTTCAGACCAGGATCCAGGCACCAGGACTCCATGTTCAGACATGGACCACAGGCTCTGGTCTGAGAAGCCAAGGCCATGGCCGTGACCTCATAGCCCAAAAGACGTAGGGATTAAGACTTCACAAGTGTCCATCCTGGACTCTGCTCCATTCACATCATTAGCCTGGCCACTTCTCTTGGGTCACAGTCCTCTGCAGATATAGAGTAGTCTAAAACTACCCCCTCCCCCCCCCCTGCTTCCAGACAGGTTTCTGTCCCACCCTTTTTGCCAGGGGCAGAGGTACCTATGGAGGAGTCTGGGATTGGTGGTTTCAGATGCAGGATTGAACAAGTTCTGTGTGAACCCCATAAGCACGGAGGGAGGGCTGATGGGGGCATCTGCGACATGAGATTCTCAGACACAGCTAGATATCAGCCCTGATAGCAAGGAAATCGCCCCAAACTTGGCAGGAATCTGACCCTGGCTGCCAAAGTGGCCCCATTATCAGGAGAGTTCCTGACCTGGCAAATGCCAAGCTCTGAAAACAGAGTGACAGTGTGTGGAGCTGGGGCCGCAGAGGGTCTGGCACGAGGCCCAGAGCCTACGGGCTTCTGGTTCAGGGGTGGGGTCTGAAAACTGAAGAGGGCTGAGGCCAGGGACTGAGTGAGCAAGCCTGGGTCTCCCCATCCACCTGCTGAACACAGCCATGTGATACTCCTCTTCTGCCATGTCTACTAAAGGAAGTGTCTGCCAAAAAGACTACTTGAACAGCATTGAGGGGCTGACTCTGGACAAGAGTCTTTCAACGTCAAAATGAGGAGCTCTGACCAGAGCTGGGGACAGGGACTGTGGGAAGACCAGGGGGGAAGCCCTGCTAGGAAGGTGTCCCGAAGAGATCTGTCAATCAAACTGGGTGCCTGCTCAGCCTCAGAATACAACACTTCCACCCGAAATGAACTCCGCCCCTGACATGTGCTTTGCCAAGCCCTGGAGGATTCCTGTAGAAGGTGACACAGTAATTCATAATAATAGGTGCCTCCAACAAGCCCCAAGTTCTTGCCCTGACCCAGATTCAGACCAAAAGAGGGGGGATGGGGGAAGCTGGAGAGATGGCTGAGGAGTTAAGAGCACTGCTTTTCTAGAGGACTTGGGTTCAATTCCCAGCACCCACATGGCAGCTCACAACTGTCAGTAACTCCAGTTCCAGATCAAACACCCTCACACATACATGCAGGCAAAACACCAATGCACATAAAATAAAAATAAATCTTTTTTTTAAAGGCCCAGAGGCTGGGGAGCAATTGCACCCACTCCACCCCAGCAGGTGAACTCGGGTTGGGGAGGGAAACTGGGGAGGCTCACCGGAGCTCCCCTCCACTCTCCCTCCTGCTCTCAGTGGGTCTCTAATGTCTTGAGCCTGGTGCGGCACTCGGGAATCATCCCATTCCTGACATGGTCCCACATAGGCATCCTACAAGGAAAAGCCTGCCAGGATGATGTGAAGAAGGAGTACTGAGGGGCAGAGGGGTCTCAGAAGGCTCCATCATGGAAGTAGAGCAGTACCCTGACTAGTCAGGTACGGTTGGCTGATCTCTACCTTCAGGCTCCACTGTATGGGCTTCTCATTCATAGTATTGGCTGGGGTCCCTCTCCCCAGACAGACCAGAACCCCTTTGTGTGGCCAGGCATGGACGTCCAGGGGGCGGAGGTCACTCAAGGTCACTCAGAGCAGCAGCTGGTGCAGTCTGGGAGAAGTGTGTCGGTTCTACCAGGTCCATTTTGTACCTGCGTCCCCAGGCTGCAAGCAGGGCTAGAGGGTCAAAGTAGTGTATGGAACTTCAGGGAAGATATTCTGACGAGTTTCTGCCCCTGGCCAGAAGGCAGTCGAGACCAGGGAGGGAGCAGGGCGGGTGGTGCACACCTTTAATCCCAGCACTGGGGAGGCAGAGGCAGGCGGATCTCTGAGTTTGAGGCCAGCCTGGTCTACAAGAGCTAGTTCCAGGACAGCAAAGGCTCCACAGAGAAACCCTGTCTTCAAAAGAACAAATGGAATCTGTCATTCTCCATTTAGGGACTTGGGAAGGAGGTACCAGCAGCCCCCCAGCTTTAGCCTGGGTAGTACAACCCAGTCGTCCTGCTGCCCCTTCACACACCCCTCTACTTTCTGCAGGAGTCACCCCAAATCTTTAGAGGCCTACACTTTTCAGTATAAGCAGCCAGAGTCCCTCACCCACACCTCTGTGTACGCCTGCCTCCCACTAGAGCGGGTTCAGAAAGAGGAGACATGAGGGAAAAAAGTGTTTAATTTCTGCTAGTCCTTGCCGATTGCCACACCCACAGCAGTGCTCAGCAGGAAGGGAAGGAGACCTGGCAGTGTCACAGAGTGCCAAGAAGGCTGAGGAGCAGAAGAAAAGCCAGGAGCAAGGTTCTGGAAGCTGGAAGGGCCAGGGCCTTCCCGCTAAGGTGGTTCCAGATCCAGGACTGGTAGGAGGAGACCCGCAGAAAGATGGGTGGGGCCTCGTTCTTCTTGCAACCTGGGCCCCAGCTCATCATCCCCACCAGGTACCATGTGCCATCAGAAGAGCAGACCAAGGGCTCGCCAGTTAGCTCCTGTAAGGAGGGGGGAAGTTAAAAGGGTCAGGGAGGGGAAGCTACACCTGAGAGGGGGCATAACTCGAGGAGCCAGCCCGGGGTCTCTCCCACCAGACTCTTTCCAGATCCTCCCAGTCTGAACATAAGCGATGAGTGTTCCTGACCCGTTATTTTCTTCTCAAAGGACACTCCTCAGCTTCAGCTCCACGCCTCTCATTTCCATCCGATCCAGCCCAACACCCCTGCCCTCACCTGCCCTCTCCAGCCTCCCCCACTCCCTCTCCACCCCTGCTTGTCTCCCATCCTCCCTCCCTCCCCTCTCCACAGCCTTCAGCTCTGCCTCCTGCACCCCTCCACCCTGGCCCTCGGGATAAAGGAACAGGGGCAGAGGTCCTCACGTAGCAGAACTTCTCCCTGTCGCTGTCCGAGGCACAGATCATCTGAGAAGTGATGATCCGAACCAGAGAGGAGATTCTGGAGAACTTGTGGTAGAACTGCTCACACTTCCGGCTGTTCAAGATGGAGACTTCCTTCTCCTGAAGGGATTGGAACTGGGGCCACCTGCCTGTGGGACAGGTCCCCATTCAGGCTTAGCCACTGGCTGTGGCCCACAGCCACCAGCTCTGTCTCTTTTGCACAGTGGCCATAGAGATGTCTCCACGTTAGGGGTATTTTAAGGATGCCCCTATTCAGAGGTGCCGGAACAGACAGTCCACACCGATGGGCTCTGCGGGTCCTCTTCCAAGTGCCTGCCAGCACTCTCGGGACCAAAGCCTTTCTTTTCAAACCAGGCCCTAGAGCCACCTCCTCACTAAGCTTTCTCAGACCCTCTCCGTGGATACCCCACCCCACCCCCAGCCCTCAGCACCATCTTCCATCCCACCCAAAATGTGTCTGAGCTTCTGGGGGACAGGAGACTTCTGCTCATTCCCAGAGAGGTCACAGAACGGACTGTCTAGAGGGCAAATTGGATCCTCAAGCGTACAGAGATGGGCATCTCTCTTATGCATTGGTGGCTCCATGAAGGGTGCAGACATTCCTAGAACCCACCAGGAAAATGATCCCTCGACACAGCTGCATCTGTTCTGAGAAGCCTTTTGCAGCAGCGAAAACCCATTCCCATGTACTCTGCTTGCCAGTGCCCTAGGGTGCCAAGCTATTGTTCTAAGACCTCCTTGCTTTCAAGAAAGTTCTGTTTACATATCCTGGCTCTATTCTGAGACTTCAAGGCTATGATAAGTTCACTGACAAGACCCTCAAAGGGGGAGGAGACTTGAGAGATGAGAAACCAACAAAAGGTTCCTGGCTCATGGAGCTCCTTAAAGAAGGTACTCCAGAGATGTCCATCCATGGGGCACCCCAGCCATACCCAAGCCCTTCCTCCCACCATGCACCCTGGGCTGGAGGGTGGGGCTATGACTCACCATTCACCTTGGGAGATCCCCAGCCTGTCACAGTGCAGAGAGAATTGTCCTCTAATACATATTCCAGGCCAGGCAGGCAGATGGGCCACACATATTTGCTGTACTTGAGCCCCCACTGGAGTTTGAGGAGGCTGATGTCATTGGCCCGGCCGACCCAGGACCAGTACCGTTTGGCTTGGTAGTCGCTGTTTACGATTATCTGATGTACTGGGACATCGGTGCTGGTTTTGGTCGTCTGGTTAATCCATGGGCTCCCCACCCTCACCGTATACTTAACGTGCTGCCTATGGGAACAGGGAGGGGGTGGGAACAGAGGGGGTGTGCCTCCCATCAGCTCTAGGCTCCTGCCTCAGTCCCCAGTCCTGCCACAGACACCACTGTGGTCCTCCAAGCCAATCGAGGCAGGCCACCCTGGGCTTCATGGCCCCCGAGCCTATTCCTCAGGACAGAGGCCTGCACACATTGTGCAGTCCTCTTCATTTTGTGTAGGAGGGAAATGGAGATTCAAAGTAGTGCCGCGGCCTGCTCAGGGACGCACACTCAGGAAGTGGTACAGCTGGGATGTGGACTCCATTTCCGCTAGTCGAACTCTGGGGTTTTTCCCTGTGTGATGACCATGGCCTAGACCTCAAGCTACCTTCCCTGGGATACCTCTTGAAGTCACTATGTGGAACCTGTCTTCACTGGTCAGTCCCAAGGCAAACATCAGACGCTACTCTCGGGAGTTCCCAGGCCCCGGAACATGGGCACAGCCACCCTTTTATCTCCACACAATTTATATCTGTCTTCTTGTTCTAATCACTCTGAGAGGTTCTAAGTCAGGGCCTCTCTCAGAGAAAAACCAGAAACCGTTGATTGACAGGAGGCAAGTGGGAGGGACTGGGAGCAAAGAGGGTGGAATGAAAGGCCCTTACCTATGGATGACCTCACAGGACTGAAGGGTAGGTAAAGGGGCAAAGGGTAGGTACATGCCAAAAGCCAAGTCCCAGGAAGGCATCTGTGAGGCTCAACCTTCCCTTGCTCAGAGTGAGGATGAGACCAGGGCTGGCGTTGTGGGCTCCACACAAGACGCAACTGCTACTTGATGGGTCACTTGGAAGAGCGCCTGGGTCTCCAGCATTTTAGAGGCCTTTCCACCCACCCACCTGGGCCCCAACTCACTGCGTCAAGCAGTGGGCCACGGTAAGCACCCACTGGGAAGCAATAAGGGTGCCGGCACAGACGTGGGTGCCATTAGCCTGCACACTGACCATCCATGGCCACCGCCGAGTCATGGCTTCTGGGTCCCTGAGGGTCGGGTCTGGCTCATGGGAGGAGCCACAGACTGGGGGAAGAAAAGAGCCATAAGCCCACCTGGCCACGCCTTTTGGCTCTGTCCCCGTCCTCCCCCCCTCCAGCCTCTCCAGCCACTCACCTGAAGCTACCCACCCTTCTCTGCCTGTCACTATGGAACCATAGCATCCACCCAGGGACATGTCCAGCTTTAGAGAAGCCTCGACACTATGCAGATACCTATCTCCTTGTTCCTACAGCTCGGGCTGCAGATTGGTCCCCCTCCTTGAGCCAGTGTGGACCCTGCCCCTTCTCTGGGAGTCCCCTCTTGGGGTTCATGGAGATAGAGATAGATGACCAAACAGTAAGACAGACTGTATGAGGGAGCAGGGGCATCCCAAAGGGGAGAGCAAATTGGCACAAGTCACAGAAGCTTGTTCTCTTTGGGACTAGGGAGGATTCAGCCCTAAGCTATATCACACGCCCAGCTAACAAAAGCTAAGTGTCTGAACACCAAATGCTGGTGTGGATTCTAGGCCGTGAGGCACCTCCTGAAGACGGGAGTGTCAACTGCTGAGGGCACTTCGGGAAGAATTTTGAAATTGAAGATGGGGTTTAGAGAGATGGCTCAGCTGTTAAGGGCACTGGCTGTGCCAGCGGGTGGTGGCGCATGCCTTGAATCCCAGCACTCGGAGGCGGAGGATCTCTGTGAGTTTGAGGCCAGACTGGTCTACAGAGTGTGTTCCAAGATAGCCAAAGCTACAGACACTGTTTCTAAAAATCCGAAAGAAAAAAAAAGCACAGAAGATAGAAATTGGGTTCCCAGCATGCACATGTGGCCCACAACCATCTGTAGCTCCGGTGTGTGTGTGTGTGTGTGTGTCTGTGTGTGTGCGTGTGTGTGGTGGGGGAAAGAAGGTCTGGTGTTCTCTTCTGGCCTCCAGAGGCATCAGGCACACAAACAGTGCACAAACATACATGCAGGCAAAACACTACATGCATAAAAATAAAACAAAGGAAATTGAAGATGCCCAAATTTGGCTTCCACTCAAATGTTTTCTAAATAAATTGGTGGATTGTGAAACCAAATAAATGGGCTACAGCCAGCATATTTATATATTTGTTTATATATTTATTTATTCACTTGTAGTGCTGGGAATGTAATTCAGGGCCTGGTAGATGGTATTCCTGTGTTGTACGTTATCTACATGCTTGTGTGGATGGGTGGAGACATACATTCGTGTGAGCATGTGGAGGCCAGAGGAGGAGTCCGAGTGCCCTCATCACTCTCTACGTTATTCTCTCGCTGAACCCGAAGCTAACTTTGCAGCCTCCTCAGGCAGGGACTGGGGTCCCAACACTCTCCTGGGGTTGCAGGAGCAGGGGACCATACCCACCCAGCTGTTTACGTAGGTTACGCGGTTTTAATTCAGGTTCTCGCGTGTGCTCACAGAGTAAGAGCTCTCAGCCCCTGAGTTATCTCCGCCCGCGAGAGCATCTTCAAACGATACTCAAACAACAGGCTGTCAGCACATACCACACTCCGTACCTTGATATCCCCGGCTAGACTTTTTGAATTGAATCCCAGGTTAGTAACCATTTCCTCCACGGGGCTTAGCTGCAGCTCCCTGCTTTGGTGAAAGCATGCTGGAGCACTGGTTAGGGTTAGTGGTCAGGCTGACAGGGCATGGAGCCACCGGAAGAAAAAGCCTGCACTCATGAACTATCTAAATCAGATCGGCCTGTGAGCAGTTCAGTGTGGGGCTGTCGATTACTAACTGATGATACAGTACAGCCGTGCACGCGCACGTGCGTGCGTGCGTGCGTGCGTGTGTGTGTGTGTGTGTGTGTGTGTGTGTGTGTGTGTGTGCGTGTGTGTGTAGCAGCATCATCCCCAGGCAGGGGCTGCTGGGCTACATAAGAAATCTAGCTAAGCATGATTCTATGAGAGAGAGAGCCAGAAAGCAGCCTTCCTTCATGGTTTCTGCTTCAGGTTCTGGCCCGGGCTTTCCTCAGTGAAGAACTATGACCTGGAAGTATAAGCAAAATAAAGTTCCTGCCTGCCCCTTCAAGCTGCTTTATCACAGCAAGGAAATTAAAATACCAGGTGGGCCTTGCAGACCCCACAAGAAGTCTCACGCGGCCTTCTTGGAGTTGTGTTGTGGGCTCTGGGCTGGGAACCGAGACGGGGAGACCAGGTCTAAGGAAGGCCTGCGGCTGCCAGAGAGGCATCTGGCTAGTGGCTTACTCTGGGCACCACCACCACCACCTCAACTCACCAGTCTTCTCACCTACTTTAACTTTCCTTGTCCCCTACTTACCTCACCCTGATGGAAGCACAGGGACCCGAAGGCAGGACCAGGCCTGGCCCAACCTTCTGTGCTCAGTAAACATTTGCACAGAACTTTCCCTTCCTTCTACTCTCCTCTGGGCCCTTGATCCCTTGACCCTTCAACCTCCGAGATCCCAAAGCCGAACTCACAGAGGTTGCTGGGTTTGGTCCCCTGAACGATCCCGGCCATCCCTCTGGTCGCCGACTGTGTCGCCGCAGCCGGCTGTGTCGTTGGAACAGTGGTCGCTGAAGCGTCGACTTGCCGGGGAAGGCGAAGCCCGCCTGAGGGACAGGTGGCTCCGGGCCCACAGGAGACTCCAGGGCCGCTCGGGACTGAGGTGGACAGCACCCCGGGGGATGATGCCCCTGCGGCCAAGCAGCCTGCGGCAGGTCACAGCGGGTCAGAGGCGGCCCGGGGTGTGCGCGCGCTGGGGAGGGCGCCGGCAGCGGAGGGGGCTCACCTGCGGGGCGCCGAGGCAGGAGCAGCAGCAGCAGCAGCAACAGCAGAAGAAGGGCACGGGTGCGGGTGCGGGTGCGAGAGGCCCCGGGCCCATGGGGACCCCGAGGACCCTGCCCACGGGCCCCAGCCCAGCACCAGGGCTCCATTGCGCCGCTAGGTTCCTCCACAATGGCGCCCCCCATCGGGCGCTGCGGTGCCCAGCCTGTGTGGCGCCCCCTGGGCGCCATTCGTTAAAGCGCTCCTGCCGAATGGCGCGCAAGCTGAGCGTGACTCCGGGCTGGTGTCTTGCCTCAAACTTGTGGGCCCTTTTCTCTGGGTGACTTTGCTTCACCTCAGCTAGTTCCTAAGCGTCCATGTTATCTCCACCACCGTCTACAGTTACCAGGCGGTGTTGGTGCATGCTTTTAATACCAGCACTCGGGAGGCAGAGGCAGGCGGATCTCTGTGAGTTTGAGGCCAGCCTGGTCTACAGAGCTAGTTCCAGGACAGCCAGGGCTGTTATACAGAGAGACCCTGTTTCAAACCCCAAAAACAAACAAACCAAAATAACAAAAAACTACAGTTAAGATCGTGCACTGCTCTTGTAAAGGAGTTCTTTGAGTCCCTATAGCCATACGGGGAGGCCCACAACCACTTGTAACTCCAACCAACTTGTGTCACCAGGGGAAATGTGACACTCTCACCTCCACAGGCACCTACACTCACGTGCACATACATACACATGAAAGGGTTTTTTGTTGTTGTTGTTTTGTTTTGTTTTTTTTTTTTCTTTTTAAAAAAGAGGAACCTACAGGGGAAAGCTCCCAAGATCATACAACACACCTATCACAGACACGAAGTAAGGCTATCAGAGAACACTCAGCTTGAGAAACAGTCAGGTTTTATGAGGAGAGCGTTCTAAAGGGCTTTGGCCAAAGTCAGGAATGTGGTAACTTCAGACGGCTCAAAAGGTTCAAGAGCATCTTCATTGAACAACTGGGGAACAAACCCACAGTGGGTCTAGGACCCTTCCCCAAAGTCCCTCTGTCCCGAAGTCCTATTCAGCCTCTAGTGTCCACTTCTGAGGGCCCAGTAGAGAGGAGGGAAAGGTACCCTCTGGGAATGACTGTTGCAGAAACACGGCTCACAAGAGCCACAGGGAGCCCAAGGAAACCAGCAGAATGTAGCCAGTGAGAATGAATGGGCTCAAGAAGGAAGGGACAGCCATACTGGCAAACCTCATGTCGCCGATATGTCTCTTGATCCATTGGGTGAAGTGGGAGGTGCTGGTGTAGATGCTCGGGAATTGGCGACGACCACAGCCAAAGTTCCAGCTCACCACCCCCATCTGGACCCAGGTCTTGTTCATCTGGCAAACCAGGGAGCTGCCAGATGTGTCCTGCAGCGGGAGAGGGAGGGAGGCTTGAAGTAGCAGCAATATTTGCTAGCTTAGTCCTTTGTTTTCCCCAAGAATGAGACCTGCCTATGAACCTGTTCTGTAACATATAAATTTTGTGCTAAGGTTCAAGCTTGCAACCACGGTGGCCTCTTCATTGTTCTACTAGCTCTCTGACTGGTAAGCCCTCCTGAAGACCCGCTGGGCCTCCAAGGTACAATTGTTCATCTTTCCTACAGTCTTGCTTACAAGTGGCAATCTTAAAAGCACTAGCCAGTCCCCCTGCTTGTGTGCAAAGACATGTGAATGCAGAAAAGGAACATTTACAGTGTCGTACATCAAAAGGTGACATCAGGTTTCTTACGATTTAAAAAAATCTTTTTATGGAATTACATTGCCTCCCAGTGATAGAATATTCACTTAGGATGCATGGGACCTTGGACTCTATCTCCAAATAAGAAAAAAAAAGGCCTATCTATATTCCTCAGTAACATTTGAAACTTTATGAACCAGGAAGAAAAAGTTCTGCCTAAGGACAAGAGCAGAGGCCTCCACTAGTGCACAGAAATGCTGTTGCTGGCCAGGTATGGTGCACGCCTTTAATCCCAGCACTCGGGAGGCAGAGGCAGATGGAGCTCTGTGAGTTCGAGGCCAGCCTGGTCTACAGAGTGAGTTCCAGGACAGCCAAGGCTACACAGAGAAACCCTGTCTCAAAAAACCATTTAAAAATTCTGTTGCTCACAGAGGAACGACCTTAAACAATATACAAAGTCAGTTCACATATGAAAAACAAGATACCTAACCGGACCTTCTTGCTGAAAAAAACTAGGAATGTGGTTTTGGCTTTTTAAAAAAAGCATTTTCAAACTTTCTTTTTCATTTTCATGCATGTGTGCATGTATGCTGTACATGTTTACATGTGTGGAATGTGCATGTGCACATGGGTACAAGCGTTCATGTGGAAGCCCAAGCCTGAGCCTGGAAGCATCTGCCATCATTTCCCCATTTCATTTCAGCAGTCTCTCAGTCAAACCCAGTGCTCCTCCCACCCCGTATTGCCAGTCTTATGAGTCAGTTTGCTCTAGAGATCCCATGCCCCACTATCTGAGGCTGGAATTATACGCAGGCTGCCACACCAACTCAGCATTTACAGGTTCCAGGATTTGAACCCTGGTCCTCACAGTTATGTAGCAAGTACTTTAACCTCTGAGCCATTGCCCTATTTAAAAAAAAAAAAACAGCATTTAAATTGCATGTATAAGAGTACAGGAGAGTACTCTTGAAGCCCCAAACGTGAATGGGGAGTGGGAATCCAGAAAGTCAGGAGAGCCCAGGGGCTAGCTTTTGGTTCAAAGCCTATATCAAGTCCCGTAAAAGCAAGTTTCAAGTTCACAGCCTTGTTCACAGAGACCAAAGTACAACTTAGAGCCTTCCTTGCCATCATCCAGAGGAGCTATATGGACTTTTCAGAGAAAGAAGAGAAAATTGGAAGCATCAATGTGGGGGCAGATTTGACCAAGCAGACAAATAGATTCCAAGGCTTACCACCATAGAAACAGGGTATGTACTGCCGTATAGGAAAGGCAGCCAAGGGCACAGCTGGGAGCCCGTAGCCTGATGAATGCATGGGAGGGGGACTTGGTGCTTGCTACTGTGGGTGAAGAAACTGGCTCTGGGGACAGAGGAGAATGAAGCTGAATCACAGCACAAACTCCAGAGCAAAACTCTAAACATAAAAAGCAAAAAAGATAAAGCTAAGTAAAGACATACAGAGCCATATATTTAAGTCTTGAAATAAAACACATTTTTAAAAGAGATTTTAATAGGCTGGAGAGATGATTCCTAGGTTATAAGCATGTACTGCTCTTCCAGAGGATCCAAGTTTTCCCAGAACCCATATTGGGGGCTCACAACTGCCTGTAACTCTAGTTCGCAGGGCTCGACATCTCTGGCCTCCATGGGAACCTAGAGTCATATGGACAAACCCACACACAGACAACCACACACATAACTGAAAATAAAAATGAAATCTTTTTCAAAAAGAATCTTCATAATCCTGCAATCCTGAAGAGGAATATGTTCACACTGATGACATCTAAATAGAGACCATTCAGGAAGTAAAGGACACCAAATACTGTTGAAGATAGATTAGAAATTAAAACGGGACATTTGGGGATAGGAACGTAGCTCAACTGGGAGAATGCACAAGGACCTGGGTCTGATCTCCATCATCACATGAACATGGTAGCCTTCTTATAATCCCAGCCCTCAGAATCATGAAGAGGAGAAGTTCAATGTCATCCTCAAATACATAGAGTTCAAGGCTAGTCTGGGCCACATGGATCCCTTCTCCAACAGACATAAACCACCACGTCCCGAGAAGAATACAGGATGCTCTGATTATGTAGGACAATATTGTTTCTATAGATTAAACTGTATTAAGATCACTAAATATTCTCTAAAGACACAAACATCTTTAAGGACATGCATTAAACAGAAGGGAGCAGACAGATGCCCATAACAGGAAAAACAAAGGAGAAAATCAAGCCTTAGCTATTTTATATTATAGTACAGGAGTCCTTGCTAGAGGTCTAGAGGAAAAAAGAGCATGTGCAGAGAGACACTAGAAGACAAGCAGACAGACATCTATTATATGTGGATACTTCCTTTTCATATCAAAATATTTTTGATATATATTTAAATAAGTATATATACTTATATAATAAGTATAATGTAAATATATACTTCAATGGAAAAACAAAAGTTAACCTTAAAATATGTTACAATGGAAACAAAATTTAAATCTATAATAAGACATAGAAGCACAGAATGCCACATATTGCAAAACCCATAAGATGTGGCCTAAATGTTGCAAATTTTACTTAGGGACTGCAAGAAGTTTTAGCATCAAACAGAAGAAGGAAAATAAATTGTTCATTAACACTGACAATTATTTGTCCATGAATGTTAGGCTCAAAACACTTGAAAAGGATAGTAAGGACAATTGATGTATTAGAAAGCAAAGAATTCATTAAATTGGGAAATGAAGCTGGTGGTGGGGATGATACACACAATTGCCCTGAGCTTTGAGTAAGAATAGAGAAGAGAATCTATACCCAGAATATGTTTTCACCCAGAACCTTAAGACTCTTTATGACTTCTATTTTGTGGATTTAAATCTGGTTGAGGTGAAAGACTTCTAAGAAAGTGCAAATGATTTAGATTAATTTTAAAAAGGACAGAGGGTCAGTGAGGTGGAAGCACTCACAGCCAAGCCTGAGGACCTGAGTTCAATCCCCGGGGAGGGAACCAACTCCCACAGCTGCTCTCTGTGCACCATAGCATCCACACGCCCCACCGCACACAAAAAATAAATAAATGTAATTAAAATATTAAGATTTCAGAGTGATAGGAAATTGACTAACCCAATAACCATGTGTGAAACAACTTAAAACAGTGTCTAAGAACAATCCCGCAACAGAAAACATGTCTGTTTGTCCTGGAAACGCCAAACCAACCTTCAAGAAGGAGGTAATTTCTGATACTTCAAATGTTCCAAACATGAACACATTATTTCCCAGTGAAGTATATGTAGTTCTCATGCTAGAATTTAACAAAGAGAGTGACTTATTCTAAACACTTAAAAAAAAAAAAAAAGGAGAGCTTAGCCAGGCAGTGGTGGCGCATGCCTTAAATCCTAGCTCTTGGAGGCAGAGGCAGGTGGATCTCTGTGAGTTTGAGGCCAGCCTGGTCTATAAGAGCTAGTTCCCG